CCCGTTGGTCCAAGTCGTTGGCACTGAATCCCGGGACAAAAAAATAAAAAACATATTCCACAAAACCTGGGAGAAAACAAGTCGATCTTTCCCACCCTCCCTTCCGCTTCCGCTTCCCGGGCGCCGGGAAGGCCACGCAGATCTCCCAGCCGCTTTTGGTCACCGAGTGGTCGGAGCTCCAGACGAGTTCTAGGCCCACGCCCACCTCGACGCCCGCAGGGCCTGCGAGGGCTTCGGCGGAGAGGGCGAGCACATGGCGCCTTTTCGTGTGTGTGTGTATTTGGGTATGTGCGTGTGTTCCTTTTCAACGGATTCACTACAGGCGGATTCTCTGACGGTTAAGAACCATGAAGCTGGCAAGCACGCCAAGGCAACCTGGCCGCACCGCTGCCGTGGGGAGGAGTGGTCCTGAATTTTGTGGTCCTGAAACCGTTTTTATCCCACAACAATGCCACAGACAGGGCCCAGCCTGCAGACCCACTGTATTGTTGCCCACTCACAGTCAGGATGTCGTACCCGCTTTCCTGCAGACCGGCAACGCGGCCCGGGGTTCCAAATGGCTTGAAAATTATTTGGGGGGAAAAAGCTTCAACCGGGTTCCTTGCAGGATGCATACAGGCAATGTTGAAACTCATCTTCAGCTGTTTGAAGAAGGCTCTGCCAGGCGATTTGGGAGAGCATGCTATAAGGGACCCTGTTCAAAATAACAAACGTTCATTGCGAAGAAAATGGCTGCTTCTATTCCTGGGTGCTGGCTCCCCGCTCAGTGCTGCAACTTTGTCACGGCGCCTTGCGATGTGGCTTGCTCGGAGTGCCAGCCCAAGCCAAAAAAGGACCGAAAAGGAAATACCTTGGCCATTTTAACCCCTCCTTTCCATCCGCTCGCCCTTCTGCCCACATGGTGAATCTTTTTCGTAATCCCTCCCCGCTCCCTTAGCGGAAGCTGAGGGGATCGGAAAACTGCACTATGAATGAAATCCCAAATGTCACCCCCTCCCCAACTCCACTTTTGATAACTTGGATGGCGATCTCGGAATTTCGGGTTCTGGCTTGCGAGTCCGACCGACCGGAGGGGTCATCACTTGCCAATGAGGGAATGACCCCCATGAACCATCCCATGTGATGCTTCTTGGGGAATCCCCAGGTTCAGTCTGTAGCCATCGCACCGATCGCACGCTTCGGGGGCCGACTTGGCCGAGGCGCCGTGTCGAAGCGCCCCACCCGCAGAAAGCCCCCCACGCCGCGCTGAAGGGCCGACAGCTCGCAGGTCTCCCGGTTGCTGTAGGCGTTGGGGAAGCTGGGGCCTGGGCTTCAGTTGAATTCGGGAGAACTCTCCCCCCCTAAGGATTTCCAAGGGAAAAACACCAGGAAGAAGCTTGCGTGCAAGTAGCGTAGTTACAATCAAGCGCATCGTTCTTGGTCTAGCTCTACGATTTCAGGCTTGAAGATGTGTGATATGTAATTGCTGTTCATCGATCGTTCTCATGCAGTAATTTCTTATTAGCCGATTCGCCGTATTCCTTCCCTCTCGGGGTGGCGGTGCATCAACTTGTCTACAGGGATTTCTCAACCCCATTCTACGTGCACACGCGGAAACCCCATAGAATCGTCTCAAGACACATGAGGCTTGGAGACCCAAGTGCTCGGTTTCAAAATGCTGTCATTTTCCCTGGGCTTGGGCGTGTTAATAGGTTTGGAAACTTCAAGCCCCGCCCTTCACCACGCTATGTCCTGAATGTATTGTGCCAGTCTTACGCAAAGTGTTTGCCACGATGTACTTTGTGGTACTTTGTGACTATCGCATCATTCCAGTTGTGGTTCACTTGGCCAAAACCCAAAAAATGAGCCATGGATGATACGAAAGCGGCAATATATGCCCAAGGCATAGTCAATGCCTCATATCAACACACGCATGAGGACCATGAAGCAAAAGGGAGGGACGTGTCCAGCATCCAACCTGCAGCCCTGTGATTGGCTTCAGTCAGGGTTTTGCCCGGCGTAACAAGTGCCGAATCCAGCACCTCTTGAAATGAGCTACTGACGCACATCTGGCACAGAGCCCTCACGGAGATGGGCTACAATGACCCCGAAATATGCTTCCCCGAATTTGCCAACATGGCCATTATATACACCCGACCGACTCGAGTTGCAAGTCCAAGCTGTTGAGATTCTCCCAACCCGCTCGAATGAGGCTAGACAATTGGTCGATGGTAGATGCCGCGTTGCTGTAGATGCAGAAGATGTCGGTGGTGCAAGGGCCGCTTTTCAGAGTCCACAGCGGCAGGATGTCGCAGAACTCCCATTCCACATCGTCGTCGGTGGTGAAGCACCAAATCCTCACCGAATAAAATAGGGGTAATCCTTCATGGCCCAGAAAGGTTAAACCCCTAAGAAGGTTGCAAGAAGCTTTCCTGGGTTGCAGGAGGGGCTTTGGATGCTTCCCTATCAAAGAACTGAAGCAAACTTGCTTGCAAACAGCAAGCTGTGAAGGAATGACTGCTTGGTGTTCGGGCTCTTTTCGCCTCCTCCCGTCGCAACTCGCGAAACCCACGCATTCTGGGAGTGGCTTGCATTCTGTAGACTTCAGCACGCAACGATCACCACAAAGCGGCGGCAGCAAAAATTCCCACGTTTTCTGGGCCGTTCCGGCTTTTCAGTGCAGCCCGAGGCGCGTGTTCCTGCCGTCGGGGTTGCGACAGTAGTTCAATGACAGGTCCGCTTCTGGGAAGTTTGCGGCTGTGTAGGGCTCCACGCTGTGCGGGCTGCTGGCGTCCCAGCGCTGACACGTCTTGCCGGTCCTGCGATCCCCGTGGTGACTCCCCAGAAAGTGGGCTTTAGCCCAGGCTTTCCTCTAGAAATTCAACCACCAAATCAAGCCTACCTTGGGCAGCAAAAAATGAAACCCTGATTTAGTCAGAGGGGTGAGGAAGTTGGAATTGGGTGAATCTGCCAGACAATGCCAAACAAAAATCCAGTGCACCTTTCGAATCCTCCGTGGCATGACCTTCGGGCTACCCGGGTGAGCCTTCACAATCCCTGCCCCTGCCCGCATCTTGGATCTGCTCGCCCCGGAAGCCTCCAAATCTCTTCTGTTTGTCCACAGCATATGTCCTGAGGGCAACTGGGTATGCACCAACCATTTTTCAAACCTAATTCAGGGAAGAAGGATATTCGCTCCCTCCACTCTCCCTGGGTCGCGGCCTCGTCACCGACTGGCAGCCCCGGTAGTCTTTCCCCTTGCCGGTCAGCCCCTCGCGGCAGTCCTCTACCTCCTGACAGGAAGCTGCCGAGTTGGCGAGGTGTGCCTCCCTTTTTTCATGGAGCCTCTAGACAAGGCGTCCCCAAAAAGCGCCCAAAAGGAGGCTGGGTTTGGGGGTCCCGCGTTAGTGTGCCGGGTACAGAAGAAGCTAGTTTGTTTTGGGGCTTGACAAAGATGATGAACACATTGACTAACTACATACTCACGGTTAGCTCGCTCAACAGGTAAGGCGAGGCCCAAAGGAGCAATTGATCCCACGAATCTTCTCTCAATGGATCCGAATGCAAAGACAAACCACTGACCGACCCTCCCACTAACCTGCAACCTGAAATAGTCGGGATGTCGATCTCCCAGGAACCTTCAGTCATCGAAGGTCGAACGCAACCCCTGTCACGAGCCCCTTCCAAGAAGGTTCCGACCGAGCCTGCTGATTGTGGCAATTAGCCCCGATCCCAGTGACTCCCAGTGCTGCTCGCTTTTTCCCCTTCCTACACCCTGATGCTCTGGACACAGTGGCGCAAGCATGCGTCGAGGCCGGGCACGTTCCTACTGGGCGAAGAATGGGCTACAGCGCTGAGGCACCAAAGGAGCTTGAAAAAAGGGAAAAAGCTTGCATTACTGGAGAACCTAGACCAAAGGAGCTTGCATGGTCACTCGATCCGAAGAGCGCGAACCCGCCATGAAATCCTGCTCTTCCCTTGGTGGCTGCCAAAATCTCAGCCTCCCTCCCAGGGCCTCACTGGCACCGGGAGGGACGGCCGCAGGAAATCGATGGAACTACTGTCCGCTTCGCGGAGGCCACTGGGGGGGGTCCGCTTCGGGGCGGGGCGGAGGCCGGCTTCGGCCCGCTTGGGCCAAAGAGCCCATGTGCTCTGAGGCGGTGCTTAGCCGCCGGGCCTTGGCAAACGGTAACCCGGGCGATCGCCACCTCGATGTGATAACCAAAGAAGACTCGAGCCTGGTTTCAGCTTGATTCCCATCTTTTTTTAAACAAAAAAAAGAAGAAAAAAAACATGAAGCTCCGACTGAAAATTAGAGGGTTTCGCCAAGGCCCAGTGCCGTCGAGACTCCGACAGCTGAGGCCACTTGCCTGTGGGCTGCCTGTGGGAACCATTCAGGGGGATTAGGGCAACCAGGTCAATCAGCCTGAGCCATGGCTCATTGAATGCCCAAGGTGTGCAAGCTTTTGCCATGAGTGATTGAAGCTTGACAAGCCTCTATAGGCCTAAACCCACTCTTGCCGAATCGCTCGAATTCATTGAGAAAACATTGGTTTGATTGGGGAGGCTCGAACGGTGGGATACGGGCAAGCTCGCAGGCAAGTGTCGTGCATTGGGCGGATAATCCTCGATGTGCGGTTTCGATGCCATCAAAACAAACGGGTGCGCGTCGGGGACCCTAAAATGGTGGTCCTCCTTTTGGTTTCCCTTTGAACCAACCCTAACAAGGGTACCCTCAAAAAAACGCACACCCATATGCACCAGTCACGGCAATCACACGTCAAAACCGCAAATGGGTAACTTTGGCGTTTTGACCGTTTTCTCCTTCGGAGGAAAGTCCGAGCTACTAAGCCTCCGTATGGAGGGTGGGCGTAGTGCTTGACGTCAAGCGTGTCACCACTTGTAATCCTAAAAGCCCTCTGGAAACTTCTGGCTGGACTTTGCAAAGTGGGCCAACCCGGCCCCTCCCACGCATACGAAGCGAGCCAAGACTTCTACACAATAACATTATCTTTTCTTCAGCGCGCATGGCCATGTTTCCAGGGGGCGCTCGGCCACGAGCCGGCTATGCTACGTCTCAAATTTCAAAGGCTTCACTCGACCTGGAATGCCTGCGCAGCTCCAACCCCTCCAACTTGGGTGGCTTGGCACTTTGGGGCTCATCCGAAAAGCGCGTTGCATATTCTCCGCGGCCGTAGGCCTATCCCAAGTTTGGCCAGGGCCCAGTTCCTTTTGGAATATGCAAGGGGCTGGCCTAGTTGCATGAGATGTGGTCTAATTTTCAGCTGAACTAATGCAACGGGCATAGTACAGGATCTTCATGGTGTCGCTTTACCCTTAGACGAGCTCGCCATAATTTGCTCAAATCAAATACCAGGTGACACCTGAGCAAAGCCGCGGCAGTCCGCTGGGCCTTGGTGGGGCAGGTAGATCTGGCGCCGGAGGAAGCTCCGGCTTTGTTGGCAGCGACAGGTTCGGGGCCTTCGCAGCTGGTCGGTTTTCGGCGCCAAACCGAAATGTGATCCTTCTCCTGTGGCTTACTGGGAATTCAACCTATGCGCCATTGAACGCTGGGGATTGGTCTCTACACGTTGGCCCTCCCCAGGGCGGAAAAAGAGTCCAACAGAGTCCCGAGGACCAGAGCCGAGTCCATCGGAGTTTTGCTTCTGCACAGGGTTTGGTACCTGTTGTCCATTCCTGTCCATTCCCCTGTGCTGTGCACCTCCCCCCCACCCCACACCCGCGCCTGCGCCAGGCCCTTCCCCCCTGCGCTGGGGGAGGGCGGCACGGAAGGGAAGCTCACGCGGCTCGCGCCGCGCCGGAGGCCTCAGGGGAACTCAGCTCAGAGCTCGACGGAAATCCCCAAAAACCTACCCTTGCTGGTTCTCAGGGCAAAAAAAACCATCCCCTATGGCTTCCAACAAAACCACCTTCCGGTTCACATGCTGGGTCATTCCCTACTGAGGAGCGGTGAGAAAACAAGCACGTACATCTGGCCCCCCCCCCACAACAAACAATTTGCACGAAAAGCTTTCAAAAAAAAGTCGACAGAGACAAGATTCGGAAACAACGTCGGACGAGTCATTCGCTCACAAACACGTGGGTGATATCTTTCATGTCCACTAAGCAAGTTAATTGTTGAAATGCAAGCAGGCTTTGGCGGTTACGGGCGGGTCGCTCCATGCTTCACTTCCTAGGGTGTGCAACGGGGCAAAATGGACCTACACCAACAACTCCACAAATGAGAGCGCTGCATTGGTGAAAGGCGCTTGTGCCCTCACTCCCCACGCAAAAAGGCAATCGAAAAGGCATGTATCAACCAACCCTTTCAACCCGCCCCCAACCTTCAAGGCTTTACCTTTTGGGATCTTGACTCTATGGACCGAAAAGAGCCACCTATCGGGTTACAAGGTCGATTCAGTCGATCCGCTGGGCAACTAAGAGGTCATTCCGCCTGGCCCCCTTGTCTTTCAGGTGCCTTGGCGGGCGCATGCATCAGGCGTCTCCGGTGGGGGCGCTGGCTTGGGCGGCAGTGGCGAGGGCGGCACCGGCCCCGGGGTAGGGGGCGGCGCAGCTGGCAGCGAAGGCTGCGGCGGCAACGACTCCAAAGGCAGCCTGGAAGGCCGGGGAGAGTCGCAACTATAGGGGCCTCGATAAGGCATCCTAACAATTTGAATGAGGAGCTGGATGACTTTAAACCAAATTAAATTGAGTCGGCATCACAAGAGAAAGATCATGAAAGATCTGTGAATTTGTGTAGCCCCTTGTTTCACACAGCTGCTTGCAGGATCCAGCGGAGAATGTGGTCTTTGACCCTCCCTCCCACCACTGCCCCTTCCAACCGGCCTCTCGGCATGCGCGGGCGTGCCCCGCTCTTGCAGCCATGCCGGCGCGAAGCTGCTGGAAGCGGGCGCCCGGGACTTGCTGGGGGACTTGCTGGGCGAGGCAAAGGTCAGATCCTCCTCGGGTGACGGCGTCCCTCATGAGCCACCCACGCGTTTTTGTTGAGGGCCCCGGGTCCACAGAGCAAGCTTTTTCACAAAAGAAAAAAGACATCCTCCCAGTAAGGAACCTCAAGGTTGGGTTTGCTCATGTCTACCCCAGCTTGTAATTTGCCAAGAACTGCGTGCCAATCCACCTCCTCCGGCAGGTAGCGCTCCAGCTCCAACGTGGGCGGTCGAACACCCTTCTTCTTGCGCGGGCGCTCGTTGCCGCTCGCGCGCTCGGCGGGGACGGGGGCGTCCTCGGCCGCGCATGTGCCTGGGAGCTCGTTGAGCTCCTTGCTGGACAGCGTACAACACATGTCCTGTCTGCTGGAGAAGCCCGGGTCGACAGCGTGATTGACTTATGGGCGTCTTTCCAACTAATGGTTGGACAAATTTGGTGCATTCAAAAAAACATCAAGAGCGGATGTTCAACCATGGGACGACCGATCTACCTAACATGAGCAAGCAAACAGGCTGGAAACTCCAGAAGAATCAATTGAGTTGAACCCTTATGTGGCGGTAGGTATGCAATGGCTAGATGGGGCTGCATTTACATCTCTCCTCCCGCGCCACAGCCGCTGGGCTCGTTGGGCTCGTTGGGCCCGATGGGACAGCGGCGGGCGCCTTCTCCTCCGACACCGTCTGCAGAGGCCGCCGCTTGGGCGACTGCGAGAGGCTCGGCCGCACCAGGTTGCTGGGCGAGGACAGTGCGGCGAAGAGGGGCGTGGGCCCGGGCGCATCGTCGCGGGCCTAGCCGTGAGGCATATGCCCCGCATCTCAAAACAGAACACCCGCTAAGGAACCAAACTGCTGCGGAAAGGCTACACGCCCGCGTATGAGTCCACAAAGGGTTGTAATTAACCGTAAAACTTCTGAAGTCACCAAGAAGGCAACATCCTCAACACCGAGGCAAGTCATGGCAAACTGTAGCTGTTCTGGCAAAATCTGGCATGTTGCGTGAAAACACTCGTATGACTAGTTTGCCACTTTAAGCAGGGGGCCCCTGGGCCGTAAAATTCAGACCATCGATTTTCTTGCCTGCCTCCGCCTCCATTGGCCTCCCACCCGCCCGGGCCCACGCTGCCTTCTTGGGGGACGGCAGTCGCGCGCCGCTCGGGGAGTTGAGGTCCACATAGAAGGTCTCTGAGCTCGGGGACGGCGGCACCGCCGACGACACCGGCGAAGACGCGGGCGAAGCGGCGGCCCTCACGCTGGGCGAGCTCGGGCAGATGCGGGATTGGTAGCCTGGGACTTCATCGCGAGAAAAGGAAAAAGGTCAGGAAAGCTGGGGCCCCCACCACACCCGAAAAGAGCTTCCTAGAACCGTCTTGACACATGCACAAACTGCTCAGCTCTAGAAAACAGTCTGGATGTATCTGGTTTGGGGGTTCCTCCGGAAGTGCCCCTCTTTCAGTGCTCCGTTGATATCCTAATTTCCAGGGGTGAATCCGCAAAAGTTGCCAAACTGCACCCGGATTCCGCACACCAAAAAATTACACCAGCAGAGACCCCAAACAGTTGAGGGCTGACGGGCGAGCACAAACATGCCAACAGCTTGTGGCTTTCTGCGCTTCAACACGGATGAATCAAAATGATGCAGTCGTGAACCTGGCGCGCGTTGCGTTGCTGCACGTGTGTTGCTGGCGTGCTTCGCGCTTCAGCACCGCGCCAGAACTGAGGTTGGGCAAGCGCGCGCGATGGCGGGCGAGCGCGCGCGCGTGAACGCAAGTGTGGCCGCGCAAGCACTCAGTCACATGGGCAGTTCAAACACACATGTCCAATTCAGACACACATGTGTGTACACGTGGAACACACATACGTATACGACTGAAACAGTATACATTCACCTGCGGCACACGCATAAATGTGTTGAGCTGGAAAACAAACATGTGCTTCTTGGAAAGCACACACACACATGTGCAAACGTGGAACGCACATATGTGTTCACTTACGACACGCTAATGCGTTCACGTGGAACACACATGTGTGTTCACTTGGAACACAATGAAACGCGTGTCCAATTCAGACACACATGTGTGTACACGTGGAACACACATGCGTTCACCTGGAACACAAAGACGCGCAATTAAAGCACACATGTGTGTACGCGTGGGACACACATATGTATACCACTGGAACACAAACATGTGTCCACCTGGAACACCGCGTGTGCGATTAAAGCACACATGTGTGTACATGTGGAACACACATATGCGCACACGTGAGCAAACATAAATGCTCACCTAAATCGCACACACATGCGCGCACCTCGAAAACAATCATGCGTTTTCTGGAGCGCATACATGTGCACACCTGGAGAGCAAATATGTCGTCAGATGCCAAAAAAAGTTCACCTAGCACATACTAATGTGTTCACGTGAAACACACATCTGTTCACCTGGAACACAAACACGTGTCCAATTGGAACACACATGTGCGTACACGTGGAACACACATATGTGCACACGTGAACACGCATATGTGCACACGTGAACACTCACATATATGTGCACCCGGATTACACACCCGTGTGCTCATCTGATAACAACCATGTGTTCTCCTGGAACACAAACACGTGTCCAATTGGAACACGCATGTGTGTACACGTGAACACACATATGTGTACACGTGGGAGACGCAAATGCGCACACGTGAACACACACACACACATGTGCACACGTGGAACACACACATGTGTACTGCACATGTGAACACACACATTTATGCGCGCGCGGAAAACACAGACACACACGAGTGTTCATCTGATAACAAACACGTGGTCTCCTGGAACACAACCGTGTGTCTAATTGGAACACAACCGTGTGTACACGTGAACACACATATGTGTACACGTGAACACACACATATTTATATATATATATATATGCGCACCCGGAACACACACACACACGTGCGTTCATCTGAAAACAAACATGTATTCACCTGAAACACAAACACGTGTCCAATTGGAACAAACATGTGTGGACACATGAACTCACAAATGTGTACATGTGGAACACACATATGTGTGCAAATGAACACACATACATGCGCACGCGGAGCAGACACACACACACACACGCGTTCATCTGATAACAAACATGTGTCCTCCTGGAACACAAACACGTGTCCAGTTGGAACGCACATGTGTGCACGCGCGAACACACAATGTGTGCCGTGAACACACATACAAAAAAGTGCACGCGGAGCAGACACACACGCACGTGTCATCTGATAACAAACATGTGTTCTCCTGGAACACAACCGTGTGTCTAATTGGAACACAGACGTGTGTACACGTGAACACACATATGTGTACACGTGAACACACACACATATATACGCGCACCCGGAACACACACACCCACGAGTGTTCATCTGAAAACAAACATGTGTTCACCTGGAACACAAACACGTGTCCATTGGAACACACATGTGTGTACACGTGAACACACATATGTGTACACGTGGGAGACGCAAATGCGCACACGTGAACACACACATGTGCACACGTGCAACACACACTGTGTACTGCACATGTGAACACACACACATTTATGCGCGCCGCGGAAAACACAGACACACACGAGTGTTCATCTGATAACAAACACGTGTTCTCCTGGAACACAACAGTGTGTCTAATTGGAACACAGACGTGTGTACACGTGAACACACATATGTGTACACGTGAACACAGCACACGTGGAACACACACATGTGTACTGCACATGTGAACACACACATTTATGCGCGCGCGGAAAACACAGACACACACGAGTGTTCATCTGATAACAAACACGTGTTCTCCTGGTGACACAACCGTGTGTCTAATTGGAACACAGACGTGTGTACACGTGAACACACATATGTGTACACGTGAACACACACACATATATATGCGCACCCGGAACACACACACACACGTGCGTTCATCTGAAAACAAACATGTATCCACCTGAAACACAAACACGTGTCCAATTGGAACACACATGTGTGGACACGTGAACACACAAATGTGTGCACGTGGAACACACATATGTGTGCAAATGAACACACACACACATGCGCATGCGGAGCAGACACACACACACACGTATTCATCTGATAACAAACATGTGTCCTCCTGGAACACAAACACGTGTCCAGTTGGAACGCACATGTGCGCACGCGTGAACACACAATGTGTGCACGTGAACAAACATACAAAAAAAGCGCACGCGGAGCAGACACACACGCACGTGTTCATCTGATAACAAACATGTGTTCTCCTGGAACACATACACGTGTCTGATAAGAACACACATGTGTGTACACGTGAACACACATATGTGTACACGTGCAACACGCATATGTGCGCACGTGAACGCACATATGTGTACATGTGGAACACACATATGTGCACACGCGAACACACACACACACACACACACACACACACACACATATATATATATATATATATATATGCGCGCCCGGAACACGCACACACACACATGCGTACACCTGGAACACATATGTGTGTATGTCTGGAAAGCACATTTCTGTTCACCTGCAACACACATATGTGTTCACCTGGAACCCATATATGCGCTCACTTGGAACAGGCATTTGTGTTCACGTGCGACACTGGTGCAGACCTGGATCACACAAGCATGTTTAACCAGAACAAACTTCTGTGTTGACTTGTAACACACATATGTGTACACATGGAACACACGTGTGTGCACATGTGGAGAAACATGTGCAACACAAATGTGCAACACACATGCGTTCACCTGGACAACAAAAATGTGTTCACATGGAATTTACATTTCCTGCACGCCTGGGCGACACATAAATCAAGTTCCCGAAGCCGGCTGTGAGGCGCTATTCCATGGGGCTCTGCCTTGAACAACGCTTGTGTTTTATATGCGTGTTCCAAGTAGGAAAATAGTGTTCGTGTACGATCAATCTAGCTTTTTTGCAACACATTGCTAGCGCGCGAGCCTGCTGCTGCTGCTACTACTGCTAGTACTATCAGTATCGGATGCGTCTCCAGCAGTTACAGGCTTCAGCTTAGCAAAAGCTTTCCGGCGCATTGCGCTTCTTTCTCGCTTAGCTGCACAGTGTCTTTCGTATCGATTGCTAAAGTGCTTTGATCGTATTGTGGCAACTCTTCGTATCGATTCAGTAAAGCATTTGCTTTCGCAGGGAAATACGCAACCCAATTCTTCCGTATGCTCGGTACAAGGCATCCCTGCCGTCTTGCCTCAGCCGTTGTTTCTCCCCTTTGTCCAGCAAATCGCACTCCATGATAATTGCATGCGAGGAGAGCGGAAGCAAATTTGGATTGAAGCGTAACTGGGAACCGGTCACAGCTGACCACTGCGCTAGCGCCTTGCTAGCGCGCGGCTAGCGCGGGTTCGCCGTATTTTTTGGAGTCACGGCGACCATCTGTGTGGATTTGACAAATTAAGGCCACGTAAGATGAAGGTAAACGTGCGGGCTGGCTTCAAGTACTAAGTAAGAACTGCAACATTACACCCTTGAAAGCCACGCAAAGCCCATCGGGGCAACCCACGCGCCAACTCTTGGAAACCAAGATCACCGAAGACCCTAGCGCAAACCAAGCGCCATCCTAGCGCCTCCAGTGGGGAGCGGGCAATCCATTGGTATTTGCAGGACTCCGCTTTGTGTGAATGAAAAACTGCACAAAGTGACTGCGACGGTGGCCTCTGTAGACTAAACCCCCTTACTAGGAATTTTGACCGGATCGCATATGTGTTTTATCAGAACAATCGCATGCTTTCACCTGGAACACAAACATGTGCTGACGTGGAACACACTCATGTGGTCACATGCAAAAGTGCGTGTTCACTTGGAACGCGCCGATGTGGTCAGCTGGAACACACCAAGAACACACAATCATTTACTTGAAGCACTCGTACGTGCATCCGCAGCATGCTGCCTGTGGCTTGATCAAGCGCACGCGCGCGCTCAAACACACGTTTCTGAGCCTCAAACACACATGCGTGCCCGCGGAATACACCGCGAATGACCAGGGAGCCGTGCCAGGCATCCAGGCTGGGGGACAACAAGAAGGAGACAAAGGGAGACAAATGAACCCGTCCGCCCGGAGAGCCGTGCCAGACATCCAAGCTGGGAGACAAACGAATCCGTCCACCCAGAGAGCCGTGACAGGCATAGGCTGGGAGACAACCGGGGCCAAATAAAGGGAGACAAAGGGAGACAAATGAATCTGTCAGGCAAATGAACAGGTGCCAAGAGCACCACTGGGTATCTCGGCGTAGGTTCGTTGAACATCATCAAAGAATCGATAGACGATTTAACTCCAGCGTGATTCACGTTTGTTTCACCGGGGGGTTAACAGAGCCTTCTCGTAGCTGAAGCCGTGCACCGCAGCGCACCGCTCTCGTCAGCTCGGGACTCCAAATGCGAGCAAGGACAGAGAGAGGCCGCAACTGATAACGAGGCACTGAACGAACAGACAGGGTGTAGCCAACGATAGACAAGGAAGACGACCCACCACGAGCCCAAGCAAAATCGAAGTCCAGATGAAGGGCAGACAGAGGACCCTGTCCCCAACATCCACAAGACAAGGAATGACCGAAGCCAGGGCCGAAGCCGAAGGCAAACCAGACCCCGCCAAAAGGACAGAACCGCGGGAAGTGAAGGAAACCGCGGAGCGTGAGTGCCACACATCCAGGCTGGGAGACAACGGGAGACAAATGAATCCGTCCACCCAGAGGGGCATCCAGGCTGGGAGACAACGGGAGACAAACAAAGGGAGACAAAGGGAGACAAATGAATCCGTCCACCCAGAGAGGCATCCAGGCTGGGAGACAACGGGAGACAAATAAAGGGAGACAAAGGGAGACAAATCAATCCGTCCACCCACAGAGATGGGAGACAAATGAAGGGGAACCAAGGGAGACAAGTGAATCCGTCCGCCTGGAGAGCCGTGACAGACATCCAGGCTGGGAGACAAGGGGAGCCAAATGAAGGGAGACAAAGGGAGACAAGTGAAACTGTCCACCCAAAGAGCCGTGCCAGGCATCCAGGCTGGGAGACAACGGGAGACAAATGAAGGGAGACAAAGGGAGACAAGTGAATTTGTCCGCCTGGAGAGCCGTGCCAGACATCCAGGCTAACAAAGCCCAGAGAGCCGTGCCAGACAAATGAAGGGAGACAAAGGGAGACAAATGAACCCGTCCACCCAGAGAGCCGTGCCAGGCATCCAGGCTGGGAGGCAACGGGAGACAAATGAAGGGAGACAAAGGGTGACAAATGAACCCGTCCACCCAGAGAGCCGTGCCAGGCATCCAGGCTGGGAGACAACGGGAGACAAATGAAGGGAGACAAAGGGAGACAAATGAACCCCTCCACCCCAGAGAGCCGTGACAGGCGTCCAGGCTGGGAGACAACCGGGGCCAAATAAAGGGAGACAAAGGGAGACAAATGAATCCGTCAGGCAAATGGAGGGAGAGGGAGACAAATGAACCCGTCCGCCGGGAGAGCCGGGACAACCCCAGGTGCCAAGAGCACCACTGGGTATCTCAGCGTAAGGTTCGTTGAACATCCTCGAAGAATCGATAGAGGATTTAACTCCAGCGTGATTCACGTTTGTTTCACCGGGGGGTTAACAGAGCCTTCTCGTAGCTGAAGCCGCGCACCGCAGCGCACCGCTATCGTCAGCTCGGGACCGCAACTGATAACGAGGTACTGAACGAACAGACAGGGTGTAGCCAACGATAGACAAGGAAGACGACCCACCACGAGCCCAAGCGAAATCGAAGTCCAGATGAAGGGCAGACAGAGGAGGACCCTGTCCCCAACATCCACAAGACAAGGAATGACCGAAGCCAGGGCCAAAGCCGAAGGCAAACCAGACCCCGCCAAAAGGACAGAACCGCGGGAAGTGAAGGAAACCGCGGAGCGTGAGTGCCACACATCCAGGCTGGGAGACAACGGGAGACAAATGAATCCGTCCACCCAGAGAGCCGTGCCAGGCATCCAGGCTGGGAGACAACGGGAGACAAATAAAGGGAGACAAAGGGAAACAAATGAATCCGTCCACCCACAGAGATGGGAGACAAATGAAGGGGAACCAAGGGAGACAAGTGAATCCGTCCGCCTGGAGAGCCGTGACAGACATCCAGGCTGGGAGACAACAGGAGCCAAATGAAGGGAGACAAAGGGAGAAAAGTGAATCTGTCCACCAAAAAAACAGTGCCAGGCATCCAGGCTGGGAGACAACGGGAGACAAATGAAGGGAAACAAAGGGGTGCCAGACATCCTGGGAGACAAAGGTAGACAAATGAACCCGTCCACCCAGAGAGCCGCGCCAGGCATCCAGGCTGGGAGACAACGGGAGACAAATGAAGGGAGACAAAGGGAGACAAATGAACCCGTCCACCCAGAGAGCCGTGCCAGGCATCCAGGCTGGGAGACAACGGGAGAAATCAAGGGAGACAAAGGGAGACAAATGAACCCGTCCACCCAGAGAGCCGTGCCAGGCATCCAGGCTGGGAGAGAACGGGAGACAAATGAAGGGGACAAAGGGAGACACATGAACCCGTCCACCCAGAGAGCCGTGCCAGATCCAGGCTGGGAGACAACGGGCGACAAATGAAGGGAGACAAAGGGAGACAAGTGAATCTGTCCACCCAGGCATCCAGGCTGGGAGACAACGGGAGACAAATGAAGGGAGACAAAGGGAGACAAATGAACCCGAGCCGCGCCAGGCATCCAGGCTGGGAGACAAATGAAGGGAGACAAAGGGAGACAAATGAACCCGTCCACCCAGAGAGCCGTGCCAGGCATCCAGGCTGGGAGACAACGGGAGACAAATGACAAAGGGAGACAAATGAACCCGTCCACCCAGACTGGATCATCCAGGCTGGGAGACAACGGGAGACAAATGAAGGGAGACAAAGGGAGACAAGTGAACCCAGGGAGACAAACGAACGCGTCCACCCAGAGAGCCGTGCCAGGCATCCAGGCGGGGAGACAACGGGAGACAAATGAAGGGAGACACAGGGAGACAAATGAACCCGTCCACCCAGAGAGCTGTGCCAGGCATCCAGGCTAGGGCTTGGCAACAGGCGAGCCACCTTAAATGAATTTAGAACCCCTCACAGTAAACTGTTTGGGGAAAAAACATCTATGAACACAACCACACTTGGCACAGCAGTACGGTTTAGCATGTCTGGGTCTATCCGAGCTGGGCCCGCTTCACGAACATGAACCTTGCGACCAATAGGTTCCAACCCCTCCAGCCATCTCAGCCGCTGCCTGCAGCTGAAAATGACACCATACACCAATAAACCATACTGAACCTCAAATTCGCGGATGATGTCATACAACAGGCGGCCAAGCGGGAAAACTGCTGGTCCAAGACGCCCTGCGACGTGGGCGAGGGCACTGGTGAGGATGCCCGCGTCGTGGCATCGTCTTCCTCCTCAATCTTCTGGCGGTTCGGGCGCTGACGCCCGGCAGCCACGCAAACTGTCACAGCTCGGAGCGCCCCCCCATGGAGGCTGGGCACGGTCGCTGCCTCTCGGCCTGGAACGGGTTAGGTTCCTCGAAGTTCCCACTGACATACCGTAAACCTATTTGTGGACCCTCCCCCTATCTGCAACCCGAAGTTGCATACCACGACAACAACGAGGGAAATCACATCTGTCTGGCAACATGCCCCCGGCCCCCCTCCCACCCCCGCTTCACATGCGAGGTGCCTGTGTGGTGGTCCACCTCCTTTTCCTTCTCCAGCTTTGTAAGCGTCGTCTTGGCCTGCGACGAAACGCAAGCAAGAAACTGTCATGCAAAATCGCCAGCGAGTAGCTGGATGGTGGCTACGTCTCATTTGTTGAGGGGCGCGACGCTGCCCTCTGGGCAGAAATGGCGTGCCCGTTCATCGAGCGCCAGAGCAGTTGTGATGCGGAACCACGGCATCAGCCCGCTGCTTGATGCGTTCTTGAATTTGCTCTCGCTCGCTCTGCGCAAAGGCCAGGAATACCCTTTGAAGCAACTCCCGCGAACAAAAAAATGTGCTTGGGAATCTGCTATTCGGCTGTTTGCTCCTTGCTTCATGGAGAACGGCCGCCCACCCCGACAACCCAGCCAACACCCAAATGGGTTTGTCTCCAAGTAAGCGAACCCCAAGAAAAAGATCCCGCGCTTTCAAATCAACCCCGAACCCCAAAAAAAACAAAAAACAATAAAACAACCCAAGCGAACCACCCTTTCGGCGGCCTCCCTCTTTGCCGTCCAGCCTTCATGGTGAGGGTGGCGCAGCCGAAGCTGAGGCACGTGAAGAGCACGCAGGCTCCAGCCACCAGCCCCACCAGCAGCGTCCCGCCCCCTGCAGTCCTCGCGCGAGAGGAAGAAGCTGGGGATGACTCGGCGGGATCTCCCGTCCTTTTGTGGCTTCCGTTGGGAATTCAGCAATTCACAAGGTTCGCTTTGTTAGCACCATGCATGGTGTGGTCAACGGTGCAGTGTTGGAGGTGGTGTATGATGTCGTGGTTCACGGTTGGGTTTGGCTCACCTCGATTCGACTGTGTTGGTGGCCTTGATGACTTGATCTTGTGGTCTGATAGGTCGGTCGCCGGGTCGAATCTGCCAAACTAGGTCCCCCGCTGCAACGTGGCCCTGGCCAGCATATCCCCCGACTTCGGCACGAACTTCACCGCGCATTCGCAGCTCCGCTGGCCCCGCGGCTTCTCCAACTCCGGGCACGAGGTCTCGGGGCCCAGGCAGCTCACGTTCCGCAGCTGAAGACCTTCTCCAAGGCAGTCCTCTTCCTGCCAGAAGAGAACGGGGTGCGCTTCCCCCCCCCCCCCCCCAAGAAAAACAAACTGTCAAACAAGACGTGGAAACAAAACATGGGGCATAAGACATGAAACAACATCAAGCAAACAAAAGCCATGACGTCAAACATCGGTCAGCGACAAGAGCGTGCTTTGGAACAGAATGCCCACGTGTAAATTATTGGAACATCATTGACAGGCTAGCCATTGGCACAGGGCGCTGGCTACCTGAAAATTCAGTGAACCCGGGAGCGGCTGAACAAATCAGCCCTAAATATTTGGGAGACGTACCAAATTTGCGGGGTTCTGGGATTGGACACCACCCTTTGCTCAATCCAGCAACATGTTGGGTTGACGGGGGGGGTTGGCCCGGGGTGGGGTGGGGTGGGGTGGGGTGGTGTGGGGATGATAGTGTTCATGAGATGAGAGGTGACCGCTCTTTGGGGTGGGGTGGGGTGGGGTGGGGATGATAGCGTTCATGAGATGAGAGGTGACCGCTCTTTGGGGTGGGGTGGGGACCGCTCTTTGGGGTGGGGTGGGGTGGGGTGGGGTGGGGACGATAGCGTTCATGAGATGACAGGTGACCGCTCTTTGGGGTGGGGTGGGGTGGGGTGGGGTGGGGTGGGGTGGGGTGGGGTGGGGTGGGGATGATAGCGCTCATGAGATGAGAGGTGACCGCTCTTGGGGTGGGGTGGGGTGGGGACGATAGCGTTCATGTTCGGCCGGGCTGATGTAATGCAGGATTGCTTTGTAACGTGCTCGCACCTTCTTGAGTGCTCAGGCAGATGGAGTCTGCAGGTTTAGCTTTGGTCATACTACTTCGTTTGGCGAAGGTATTGCCCATTCCGTTCTTGCGAAAGTGGTGGCATGAAGATGTGCGGTATGTGGATGCTCTACACGAGAGGCATGTACGTGTGTATATACATATATATATATATATATGTATATCGATATATATATATATATAAATGTCTATTCATATCTATATATATATCTATTTATATATACATATATGTATATACGTCCGCTGATTAAAAAAAACGTGGAACTGTCACGGCAGCGTACTCCAGTTGTTATCTCGGGTACGCGAAGTTGCAGGGTTTGGTAAGCGACATTCCTGGGAGGCATGCTTGAAAATGCAGTGATTCGTGGCACATTTGAGCACCTGTTCAATGCGATGCACTTTCAACTCGCCATCGTCCCGGGCCAACCCCCCCCGGCAACCCAACATGTTGGCACAAGATTGAAAGGGCACCATTGGAGCCTCCCATTGCCAGCAGGGTGCATTTTGGCTGCAGCGTTTCTTTGAAGTACCAACCCATCCCCACTAGCGCTTTATATCTGTCAAGGCTTGGTCGTTTCCCACATCAAGTGGCAACCTACCCCCAACAACCATCTGCAAGATTTGCAATACTTTCGAAACCCATGTTGTTGTTGTTGTGGTTGTTGTTGCTGCTGCTGCTGCTGCTGCTGCTGCTGCTGCTGCTGCTGCTGCTGCTGCTGCTGCTGCTGCTGCAGCTGCTGCTGCTGCTGCTGCTGCTGCTGCTGCTGCTGCTGCTGCTGCTGCTG